GAGATCCTATTGGCGTGTTTTAGCATGTATTGCATTTTTCCATTAGGGAACGCCTTCTCTGTGAAGTGCGTGTGTGCAATAACGCAATTCGCCCTTGTACTCCTTCTAAACAATTGTTTTTTGTTGAAACCTTGGCAAAGGGCCAAGTCTACAAAACCTAGTGCACTCTGTTCGTAACATATTCTAGTTTTGGGAACAGAAAACTGTATTGAGATTGAATGTTAATTAGCAGAATGTTGGCCAAGTTTCTTCTAACTCCATCTTCTCCCTCTTTCCGCCACTGGACTTCCTCTCATCACTATATTTGGTGGTGAGTGGATATTCTAAACAAATGCTTCAGATTTATACATCTTGTGAGACATCTAGCTCCTTCTTCTATCTGTGATATAATCATACTAAAGTGATGAGATAATTCACCCATAATCTGCATTATGTTTTAGACAGCCATGCAATTGTCCCCCATTTCATTTACAAATGAACTGTGATATACTGTGACTAAAGCATTAGAGTCTTTTCTGTGAGGTTGATTATGTGCAGTCCTATTATCAGAACCATAGAAATTGAATCACAGTGGTGTGTGTTATCCCCATTCTAGTGATTATATTTCTATGATCAGAACTAGTCCTTCTCCTTCATGATGAAAGTGATGGCATGGGAGCAATAGTAGGACAGATTGAGTTGGCCCTAAGGGGAAATACAGTTTGTTTCCCAAATGTAAGTATTAATCACATTCTTCAACATATTCTTCTGCTTCACAGTTGTTGTCTAGTAGAGGTCTGACAACGCCTGGTAGAGGTATACTTTATCTACTTGGTTCGGTTTCACAGTTTATGGAATTAGTACCAGCATCGCAAATACTTCTGTCACGTACACTACATGGTCAGAAGTATGTGGACACCTGCTCGTCAAACATCTCATTCCAAAATAATGGGCATTCATCTGAAGTTGGTCCCCCCTTTGTTGCTATAACAGCCTCCACTCTTCTGGGAAGGCTTTCCACTAGATATCGGAACATTGCTGCGGGGACTTGCTTCCATTCAGCCACAATACCATTAGTGAGGTTGGGCAATGATGTTGGGCGATTAGGCTTTGTTCGGTGTTCCAATTCATCCCAAAGGGTTGAGGTCAGGGCTCTGTGTAGGACAGTCAAGTTCTTCCACAATGATCTCAATAAACCATTTCTGTATGGACCTCGCTTTGAGAAAGGGGGCATTGACATGCTGAAACAGGAAAGGGCCTTCCCCAAGCTGTTGCCACAAAGTTGTAAGCACAGAATTGTCTAGAATGTCATTGTATGCTGTAGCGTTAAGATTTCCCTTCACTGGAACTAAGGGGCCTAGCCCGAACCATGAAAAACAGCCCCAGACCATTATTCCTCCTCCACCAAACTTTACAGTTGGCACTATGCAGTCGGGCATGTAGCATTCTCCTGGCATCCGCCAAACCCAGATTAGTCCGTCGGACTGCCAGATGGTGAAGCCTAATTTATCACTCCAGAGAACGCGTTTCCACTGCTCCTGGGTTCAATGGCGGCGAGCTTTACACCACTCCAGCCGACGCTTGGCATTGCACCTGGTGATCTTAGGCTTATGTGCGGCTGCTCGGCCATGGAAACCCATGTCATGAAGCTCCCAGACGAACAGTTATTGTGCTGACGTTGCTTCCAGAGGCAGTTTGGAACTCGGCGGTCCCGTTCTGTAAGCTTGTGTGGCCTACCACTTCACAGCTGAGCTGTTGTTGCCTCACAATATCAGCACTTACAGTAGACCGGGGCAGCTGTAGCAAGGCAGAAATTTGACAAACTGCCTTGTTGGAAAGGTGGCATCCTATGACGGTGCCAAGTTGAAAGTCACTGAGATCTTCAGCACGGGACATTCTACTGCCAATGTTTGTCTATTGAGATTGCATGGCTGTGTGTTCGATTTTATACACCTGTCAGCAACTGGTGTGGCTGAAATAGCCGAATCCACTAATTTGAAGGGGTGTCCACATACTTTTGACCATGTAGTGTATGTGCAAAGTGTTGTCTACAGTAGTCCTGATGTGCAAAGGCATGAAAAACAATTTTATATTCAGCATATTGAGATTCTATTATCTTTCTTACAGACAATACATTTTTAATGAGCTGTTATTTCCTTCCTCAGTATCCCTCAATCTGTTTATATTCTTTTAGCACTCAGTATTTTCACAGCCATCATCGATTACATGCATTTGCACTTGAGGTTCCTTTCAATAGTTAGATGTGCTTTTACATCGCAAGCCAAACACGGATAACAGTATCTTACTACTATAATACCTTTCGATCAAAATTCTAGTTCGTTGTAGATATTCTCTCTTTTACTCCCCTGAAACCACATCAAAACAGGTAAGGGGATTTAGTCACTGCAATTGAAATATATATTTTCCAGCTCAGACTTCAACTTGAATTCTTGGCAGAGATTCTGGGGGTTTAAATACTGACAACAAGCTTAATGTGTGTGCACATTGCACAAAGCCCTGCTAAACCAGGGGTGTGAAGGAAAAGGTTGAGTTACAGAAAGGAATCATAACATAAATAAGAACTACAGTATGCCTGTCCTACAGCTTGAAATAGGCCAGCATCAACTTCTGGATAATCTTCTGGATAATCAGAACACTTCACTTAACCAAGTTTGAGGCTTTGCAAAATAGGACTGTATCATTCTGATTGATTGATTGACAATTGATTAATTTCAGATTTCTGTGAAAGAGAGCTTTTTCAAAAGAGGGAGAAGTCAGTAAGCATTTGGATTACAATTCGAGCACAACAGCATTTGCCAAAAGTGATACCTCTTATGTTACATACATTTCATCTGTTATCTACAGAGCTTCATCACTCTCATTCCTTGTACAAAGTGCCATGAGGCAAAGTTAGTCTATGTAGTTAATAAATAAGTACCCATCCTATTCTAGTAAAAAAAGAAAACACTATGTCTTGCTCAGGGAGATGCATTGCATTAGCAGCTCTGAAACAGTAACTTGACAAGCGGAATTCTGAGGAGAAATTCTACATTGAAGTAAATCAAAATCAAATCACATTATATTTGTCACATGCGCCGAATACAACGGGTGTAGAATTTACTGTGAAATGCTTGCTTACGTGCCCTTCCCAACTATGCAGATTCTGATGACACGTTTGTTATTACCATGAAGGTGTTGATCATATTGGTAGCATGCAGTAGGCTCACCCCTTTTCAAAAGAAGTCTGTGTTAACAACTACAGTTAGAACAATAGGGGAAATAGTATCAGCGTTTCATAATTCTTCTATATTACTCTGCATCTACAAGGGTAAATACTGAAATATGTCTCCTCCTCCTAATTCCTATACGGATATATTAGTACCAGTAGTCTATAGGATGGACAATCACCATTGTTTCAAGTCATCAAGTCTAAAGGACAATGAACAAGATGAAATATACAAAATTATTATGACCCACTGTGTGGTTGTTACAGTTTGTAGAGCTTGGGTGAGGGTATTTAAATATTGGTAAATTAGTCAATAAAAACAACTAAGGAGAACAATACAATTAAACGGTTTGATGAAAAGGATTGGATAAGTAGGATTACAGCGAATCCATCAAATGTACATCGAGGACATGAGGGGTTCTCTACAGCAGGCCAAATGTTACTTGCACTGGTGGCATAACATAGTTAAACATTAAATACGGGTGAGACAGGAGGATTGTATAGTGTACAGGACGACTATCGAACACCAACATACAGCAAATGAGCTTATCAATTTCAAATAATTCACAAAAATACTGACAAAGAACTAATGTTCAAAAAGTAACCATGACAATTGTTGCTGGGCCTAAAACCAAGGATCGCAAAAACATCTGCTAATGTGATGATGAGGTTACAAAGAGAGAGAGCTCTGTCGACAGCGCATTTTTTTATTCAGCAAATCTTTGGTTTCATGTCCGAACTATTAGTACCATCACTGCAAGTAACATAATGGGGAAACTTTTGAGAGTGCTAATTCAAATATAGGATCTTCATACAGCTTTATATTTGTTTGTGGAGTTAGAATTTCCTCATGGAGAATACCGTATGTGAATATTGGTCAACGATGTTATATATTTGAGTTATGCAGGGCAGTGTAAAGACAAGTATCGAATGACAATGGTCATACTATGTATTACCTTACTTGCTCACTGTTCTTTTCTTACTAAATGGGCACTGGAGTCTAGGCCTATACATTTCAAGTTGAGCAGCTTTTGTTTGGTGATCCAGTTTTTTCCATTCCAACCAGGGTGTGGATTTGGGATTTTATTGTACATTCAAAAGTAAATTGGACAAATGGACATAAATAAATAAATCAAGAGCTGATGTTGAATCCACTGCTACAGGCTGGTGTGTAGCTTGGTGATTGCTAATGCTGATTGGCTCATTATGAGTGCCAATGTATTGTCAATGTCCAATGAATTGCTCCATGCAGGCATTTGACTATGAAACTCATGGAGGGTTGCTATTTCAGTAAAAATCTCAATAACAAGGCATCAAATCATATCATGTAATAAATGGACTTTGTTACCATATCAGTTATAAAAATAGAGATATCTTACTTGTTTACGGGCATATAGAATTTTGTTAAAATTACTATTTTTAATGGGGGAAATAATCCTAGCTCTCATGTACTTATATTGTATAGATACAGAGAAGTTCATGATAGCTACTCTGAGCTCACCTCTTCACCTTCCAGGACAGGGCAAATGACTAAACACAAAAATATCATGGTTTACCTCCCTATTTTAGCAAATAGATAGCCTTAAAATCCAGACTGAATTACACTACGTTTCACTAGTGGAGTGAAACAAACTTGAAACAGAGCTGAATTCAGTCTGGATTTCCAGGCTAGCAAACAGAACCATTGTCATTCAAATGTTGTATAAATTGCATAGCTCCTCCTTTTGTCTTTCAGCCTTATGTAAAAGTAGGAACAGCTAGCTGGATTGGGGTTGAGGGGTAAGGTGTAGGGGGTTTATTCTGGAGGAGTGGACCTCCTTCGCTTGCCACTGATGCTGCGGTAGTTGAACGGCCTCATCTTCATCTCCACAAAGGGGACAGAGAACTCATGGCCCTTCCAGTGGTACCAGTTGATACCCTGTATAGGATGAAGAGAGGACAATTTAGGATCAAGAGAGAACAGTGTTTAAAAACAGAGATATCTAATATTACATAACATGGTTTTCTTAGAATATGTACAGTGTACTTCATTTATCAAGGATGTGCGTACGGCCACAAACTTTACTATATGACTTATATGTCTAATATGGATATTGTCCTCAATGTTCAGTTCACTTCTAATTCAAATATGACATCCTCAGCTGTCTCCTGTCTCTTCAGCTGTCTCCTGTCTCCTCAGCTGTCTCCTTTCTTCTCAGCTGACTCTCAGACCAACCCTAGTGGTATTTCCAATATTGCCATTGTGCTGTTCAGAAAAATGTGTGGACATTTTCATTGCTTTTTGTGGTTTGAACTCACTATGGTCATTGTAGACCAGAATTCAATTAGTGGATAAAAATAATGCAGACATTCTTATCTTACCTACAGTACAATGTACATGTAACTACCAAAAGAAAGGAAACACGAATAAATGAGGGATACAAAGTATACTGAAAGCAGGTGCTTCCACACAGGTGTGGTTCCTGAGTTTAATTAAACAATTAACATCACATCATGCTTAGGGTCATGTATAAAAATGCCCAGTTGCCCATTATTTTGGCTACCATGGCTAGAAGAGGAGATCTTAGTGACTTTGAAAGAAGGGTCTCAAAGGAGTATAGGGGGTTTAAAGGGTGGGTGTGTGTGTGTAGTCACCAGATCTCAACCAAACTGAACACTTGTGGGATATTCTGGAGCAGCACCTGAGACAGCGTTTTCCACCACCATCGACAAAACACCAAATTATGGAATTTCTTGTACAAGAATGGTGTCGCATCTCTCCAATAGAGTTCCAGACACTTGTAGAATCTATGCCAAAGCACATTGAAGCTGTTCTAGTGGCTCGTGTTGGCCCAACGCCCTATTAAGACACTTTATGTTGGTGCTTCCTTTATTTTGGCAGTTACCTGTAGCTAGTTCCTCTTTTTATGTCTGTCTGGGATCATTTAATGTCATCAAAAGGTTGAAGATATTGTGAAACTGCTGAATTGTGTAATGTTGGAAGGCTTCTGTAGTAGCCTCATCAAAAGCTCTTTACAAGGCTCTTACTTGTAACACATATCACACTGGTGGGAAAGCAGCAAGAGCTTTAATGTCTAATACAAAGAAACTGGCCTTAGTGCCTTAGTTTTCTTTATGTCTTTACTGGAAATGACTGGGAATCTCACAGTGTGGCCTTTAATGCCAGTCATCACATTGGTAAGCTGAGGCAGCTGTTCAGTCCCACTGCTCAGTCCCAGTGTGGATGATAACAGGGACACCCACCTGACTGTGTCTCGACTCGCCGTATTTCCCGTTCAGGTTGGCCCGATGGCAGTTTTTGTACCACCAGGCTCCTTTGTAGGACAGGGCACAGTTGGTCACGGCAATGTCATTGTCTCTGTCCTTGGTGGAGAAGGGACGGCCTTGGTGATAGGTCAGCGAGTCCCCTGTGACAGGGAATGAAAATTAATTGGCAGTCTGAACCGTATAATACTACTTGGCTGAAGCCAAGTGTTGAGGGATGGGAGATAAAATAAGTACAGTATATTTCCTTCAAGAAACCATAAAGGAGATGGAGGAAAACTGCTTTTATGGTTCAGTGGTATGCATGTCTTTGCTATTAGAGGTCATACACGTTTAATAGATCAGTTGATTGGTCTTAAATCAGCGCCACATAGAGTAGAGTGTACATAAACGCTCACCAGCTGTGCCATTGTACTCTCCTATCCTGAGTTTGTATAGATTCCTGGTGTCTCCAATGGCGAACTTGTCATAGTTGGCGTAGACAGACTCCTGGCCATCCTTCATGTCGATCCGGAGCTCATAGCGACCTTGAGCTGAGAGCTTCTGTATGTTGTCCAAACCTGAAGAAGAAGAAGTGACAATAAAAACACACAAACGTACATACAGACAAAAAAATGCTGTAAATATACAGTACCAGTCAAACGTCTGGACACACCTACTCATTCAAGGGTTTTTCTTTATTTGTAATATTTTCTAGATTGTAAAATAATAGTGAAGACATCAAAACTATGGAATCATGTAGAAAAATAAAATAAAAAATTTAGTAACCAAAAAAGTGTTAAACAAATCAAAATATATTTTATATTTGAGATTCTTGAAAGTAGCCACCCTTTGCCTTGATGACAGCTTTGCACACGCTTGATGGTTTTTGCGACTGCGCTTGAAGAAACTTTCAAAGTTCTTGACATTTTCCGGATTGACTGACCTTCATGTCTTAAAGTAATGATGGTCTGTCGTTTCTCTGCTTATTTGAGCTGTTCTTGCCATAATTTAATGCCTTGTCACAACACAACTGATTGGCTCAAACGCATTAAGAAGGAAAGAAATTCCACAAATTAACTTTCAAGATGCGCACCTGTTAATTGAAATGCATTCTAGGTGACTACCTCATGAACCTTGTTGAGAGAATGCCAAGAGTGTGCAAAGCTGTCATCAAGGCAAAGGGTGGCTATTTGAAGAATCTCAAATATAAAATATATTTTGATTTGTTTAACACTTTTTTGGGTACATGATTTTTTTTCTACATGATTCCATATATGTTATTTCATAGTTTTGATGTCTTCACAATTATTCTACAATGTAAAAAATAGTAAAAGTAAAGAAAAACCCTTGAATGAGTAGGTGTGTCCAAACGTTTGACTGGTAATATATATATATATATATATATATATATATATATATATATATATATATACAGTGGGGGAAAAAAGTATTTAGTCAGCCACCAATTGTGCAAGTTCTCCCACTTAAAAAGATGAGAGAGGCCTGTAATTTTCATCATAGGTACACGTCAACTATGACAGACAAATTGAGAAAAAAAATTCCAGAAAATCACATTGTAGGATTTTTAATGAATTTATTTGCAAATTATGGTGGAAAATAAGTATTTGGTCACCTACAAACAAGCAAGATTTCTGGCTCTCACAGACCTGTAACTTATTCTTTAAGAGGCTCCTCTGTCCTCCACTCGTTACCTGTATTAATGGCACCGGTTTGAACTTGTTATCAGTATAAAAGACACCTGTCCACAACCTCAAACAGTCACACTCCAAACTCCACTATGGCCAAGACCAAAGAGCTGTCAAAGGACACCAGAAACAGAATTGTAGACCTGCACCAGGCTGGGAAGACTGAATCTGCAATAGGTAAGCAGCTTGGTTTGAAGAAATCAACTGTGGGAGCAATTATTAGGAAATGGAAGACATACAAGACCACTGATAATCTCCCTCGATCTGGGGCTCCACGCAAGATCTCACCCCGTGGGGTCAAAATGATCACAAGAACGGTGAGCAAAAATCCCAGAACCACACGGGGGGACCTAGTGAATGACCTGCAGAGAGCTGGGACCAAAGTAGCAAAGCCTACCATCAGTAACACACTACGCCGCCAGGGTCTCAAATCCTGCAGTGTTAGACGTGTCCCCCAGCTTAAGCCAGTACATGTCCAGGCCCGTCTGAAGTTTGCTAGTGTGCATTTGGATGATTCAGAAAAGGATTGGGAGAATGTCATATGGTCAGATGAAACCAAAATAGAACTTTTTGGTAAAAACTCAACTCGTCGTGTTTGGAGGACAAAGAATGCTGAGTTGCATCCAAAGAGCACCATACCTACTGTGAAGCATGGGGGTGGAAACATCATGCTTTGGGGCTGTTTTTCTGCAAAGGGACCAGGACGACTGATCCGTGTAAAGGAAAGAATGAATGGGGCCATGTATCGTGAGATTTTGAGTGGAAACCTCCTTCCATCAGCAAGGGCATTGAAGATGAAACGTGGCTGGGTCTTTCAGCATGACAATGATCCCAAACACACTGCCCGGGCAACGAAGGAGTGGCTTCGTAAGAAGCATTTCAAGGTCCTGGAGTGGCCTTGCCAGTCTCCAGATCTCAACCCCATAGAAAATCTTTGGAGGGAGTTGAAAGTCTGTGTTGCCCAGCGACAGCCCCAAAACATCACTGCTCTAGAGGAGATCTGCATGGAGGAATGGGCCAAAATACCAGCAACAGTGTGTGAAAACCTTGTGAAGACTTACAGAAAACGTTTGACCTGTGTCATTGCCAACAAAGGGTATACAACAAAGTATTGAGAAACTTTTGTTATTCACCAAATACTTATTTTCCACCATAATTTGCAAATAAATTCATTAAAAATCCTACAATGTGATTTTCTGGAAAAAAAAATCCTCATTTTGTCTGTCATAGTTGACGTGTACCTATGATGAAAATTACAGGCCTCTCTCATCTTTTTAAGTGGGAGAACTTGCACAATTGGTGGCTGACTAAATACTTTTTTCCCCCACTGTATATATATATATATATAGACAGTATATAAAATCATTGCTCATTTCAAATGATAACTGTCACTTACGCAAGTCTAAAATTAACTTCTACCTGCACCTTGACATGGTAAAAACTGATGCACACAGGAAATGACATGTAGAGATAACAGGAAGCGGTCAGATGGTGAAAAGTGTCCATATCTTCCTGTCAACAGTCTGTGTCCGATTTGGCCTTGCTGCTGAGGCCAGCCCAGAGCCTAGCCAGGCTGTGATGATAAGGACCAGGGAGATTAGACCTATCTTTCCCAAGATAACAAACCTTCCCACTTGGCAGGGATGTTTCCTGTTTAACCTCAAGCTGAAAATCATATGATGTTGTAGATGCCACATGATAGCAGATGGCAGTTTTTTAAACCATACGAAAAAACGTCAAGCTTCCGATGATAAGCATTGGGCTGAACCAGGGAAAAACTGGGCTTGGGCTTCGATATGTCAGCAAAAGATACAATCTGCATTAGAAAACAAAGAAGGCCCTTCGTGGTGACAGGGGAAAAGCAACTGCTGTAATAAGATTAGTTGAACATTGAGTGAACTCAGATTTGCCATTGCAGAATGCAGGATCATCCGCTACTAATCGCTTGGATAGCTTAGTTTTTCATTAGAAATTGCCAGCAGGATAAAAAATGCATTCAGAGGCTGAATTCTGTTCTCATTATATCTCATAAATTAACATCTCTTATCATTTTATTACCCATCTTACTCCTACACTTCCACAGCAATGAGGGGGCAAATTAAAAAGAGCGATAATAATTGCATATTGCACAACTGCATCAATTTCTTTATATTACGACCTCAAATGGACAATATATTTGGCCAGGGTCAGGTCAATGAGTCAGATTAATGGATAGCGCCGCAGCTGTAATAAAAATGGGCCTTTTTAAACGGCTACTGATAATAGCATCCGCTAATTCCCGTTTCTTCAGTGTGACACAATCTTAATCTTAAGAAACCCAGTAGAAAGAGTGCTTCCATATCATGGTAGTTAAACCAAATGTTATTGTGTCTCACAACAGCAGTATGTACTGCAGGATGTTGTAGATAAGGTCAGGTGCTGTGTGCTTACATCATCTGAAGCTACACTATTCTGTCCTCTGAGAGCACCACTATTCTCCTCTCGTGGTCATATCTATACCAGTGGCGGTCAGTGCCGTTTAAGATGAGGGAGGACAATTTTTTTTCATGAGCATAGCCTTATTTCTATTACAGCTATTGGATGACTCTCATTCGTATTCCATTCACCCAGTTCATTGTAACAGCGATAGGTTTAGGCTCCTACATGATACTTGAATTTTCCCTATACCCATCGTGAGGTTGCTACAACCTAGCCTATGAATGAAAGTTTACAACGCAGGTGCACACAGGTCGAGAGACAAATTTGAGGTGACAGACAGTGACACATGGACAGACAGTGACATTCAATACCGCCTTGCACACTCTTGCCTGCATCTAGATGATATAGGGTGTAATCATTAGTCCAACAGTAGCAAACTAGAGTTTATATTGGTCAAATTCAGGTATGTTTATTCCCGTTTTGTTCCGTTTGCTTCCGTTTAAGAAATCGGCGGAATGAATACACCCCTGATCACGCATAAACACAGTTCACTTTCATAGCAGCCATGTTGTATTCCTTCTATGCACTCTCGTCCTCTCACCTTGTCCCTTCGCTTGTGGACTTCAATGCACAACACATCAGCTGTATGTGACCAGGCGAAAAACCTTTCCAAGCCAAACCGCTACACACAGCCTATATTGTTGTCACCATATTAGCTAAAGTAACATCATAGTCAGCATAGCTAATAGAACTAATACGTTAGTAAACCAGCTACAATCATGCAGTAACGTTAGTGTACAGTCAGTAAGCAGTTACACCGGTGGGTCCCGGTGGCAATAAATTAGTAATACCAAAAGCTTACCTTGACTTGGAAGAGTTCCAGTGTTGTGTTGGATAGTCATAGCCAGCTAGCTAACATATCATCCCTCTGCAGGGTGTTTCAGTAGGCTAAACTAGCTAGCAGCATTTGATAGTTAAGTAAGTGAAACTGAAAGTGAAAAAAATAGACAAAATCTCTCTCTCTCTCTCTATTTCTCTCTTGCTTCTCCTTCATTTTGGAAGAAATTAATTTGGTCAAAACTGTTCGACTATTGTCTTTCTCTCTCTTTGAGTCAACTACTCACCACATTTTATACACTGCAGTGCTAGCTAGCTGTAGCCTACGCTTTCAGTACTAGATTAATTCTCTGATCATTTGATTGGGTGGACAACATGTCAGTTCATGCTTCAAGAGCTCTGATAGGCTAGAGGACGTCCTCCGGAAGTTGTCATAATTACTGTATAAGTCTATGGAAGGGGGTGAGAACCACGAGGTCCTAGGTTTTGTATTGAAGTCAATATACCCAGAGGAGTACGGAAGCTAGCTGTCCACTGGCTACACCATGGTGCTACCCTACAGAGTGCTGTTGAGGCTACTGTAGACCTTCTTTGCAAAATAGTGTGTTTTAATCAATTGTTTGGTGACGTGATTATATTCAGTATAGTTTTATCTAAAAAGGATAACGTTTTAAATGTTTGACCATTTAAATTTTTATGAAATTCACTGAGGAGGATGGTCCTCCCCTTCCTCCTCTGAGGAGCCTCCACTGATCTATACCATGTTAGTGTCAACGGTACATGATCAGCACAGCACATTGTAATATACAGGATGCTGGCTACAATGCTCCCTGTCATGGCAGGAGGTGTCTTTGTTGACTACGAATAAGACTGGACAAGGAGGAGCACTGGGTGTGCTTGCCTGAGCCAGAGGTGACATCCTACTGCGTTGTTAAGGACAGACAGGGGATATGGGATGGACCTGGCAAAAAAGTCAGAAGAAATATCAACTAGATTCAGGCACGGGCTGATTTTTTTATTTTGTGGATGGTCGGGGGGCCGGAACATAATTACAAATAATTTGTAGACTGCAAATTGTCCACAAGAAGCCCAGACAGATTAGAGTAAAACATAATAATTTCAAACGTTGCTTACATTTTAATATGATCACGTGTCTCTTTACTATGTGTGGAAATACTTGGGAACAGATTTCCCAAATAAAAATCACTTCGAGCTGATTTACTGGTTTTTATTTTTATTTTTATGTCCAACAACGAAAAAATAAAAAAATAATATTTGCTAAAAAAACATGGGGGGGGTAAATAAAACCACCTGCGGGCCAAATTTGGCCAGCGGGCCGCCAGTTGGGGAACCCTGATCTACTGGATGAGAAGTGCTGTAAGCTTTTACCAATCAGGAATGAGTCATGAGTCATAGTTGTTTACCAGGATCTGTGTGTCACTAGTACATGTGGTACAGCCTGGGTAGGAGCTTAGTGGCATTTGCTGATATATAAAGAGGCATGGATGAATGCTCTGACGTAAATGCAGGGTCATCAAGATTCTGTAATGTTCTAGAGGTTAAATTCATTAACGATCCTTTTATCAAACAGACAGATTTTGGTTCTGAAAGTGTACTGTATTGTATTTTTCTAATTAAAAGTACCAAAAGTATTTCTCAAGGTTGGGATCTCTGCTATGAAGTATTCATGGAGACAATCTTTTATCTATTTCCAAAACAATAACATGAAAACTGGCCCATGAAGAAACATTGTTCATTGGCAGCTTTTCTAATGAATATAACTATGGCTTTTATGATGAGATTAGCAGAAATCCTCCACAGTGCATCAAAGGAGAGAGCCTTTTGTTTTGTATCAGAATCAGAGGATTTATGAAAAACAATCACCATACAGTGAGAAATGAGAGCTGAATACATCCATTAATAAATCACAGAACTAGTGTTTGTGAAGTGAAGTAATAAAATAAAGAAAAGAGCGAGAGAGACTAGAAACAACATACTAGAAAGTAATGTGTAAATTAAGTAAACTGTTAACCCTGCCATGGGAGAGATAAGCAGAAGCAGAGACTGCAAGACAAACACAAGGGCCTCCTATTCCTATTTTAAAGAGATTATTCTGTACTTTTTGCACTTTTCAGCCTGTAGTTCTGAAAGTAGTACTCACGAGCCAAAAGTGGTCCCCGAAAAGTGTGTACTACGTGCACCACGTCATTGCTCTCTCTCTCTCTCTCTCTCTCTCTCTCTCTCTCTCTCTCTGCTGTGTCCACTGAGCCATTGGGCTCCTTATTGGATAACGCTTGGCAGGCCTCTTGCTAGCTGTCACTCAAATGCGAAGGGCTGAAGCTCATTGGCTAGAACTCAAATTGCTAGGTGGCTGGCCCACTTGGGGGAAGATGCAGGGAAAATGGTGCGGCACAGCTTCAAGATAAGTCACTTTCAAACTATGGATTTTGTGGCAAATTGTGGTGAGACAGTAATTCTTCTCATAGCTTATGCATGTATGAACTACACATTGACAGATCCAGTCCAAAGTATTAAATAAATACTTTCTTGGTCGCCAAGTACTGGAGCATGTCTTTAGGTAGTGTGCAATTCAAACTACATTCTCTACCCCAGGAGTGTGGGTACCTCTCTAGAGAGCTAAGTAGCCCCGAGAGATAAAGTACCTCCGAAAAAGTGTTATGGGGTTGAAATGAGCCATCTAGAAAACAGTCTTACCGAGCCAGAATTCATCCTCTAGGTTTCCAAAGCCGACCCTGTAGTCATTCCACTTCCTGGAGAAGTCTGTCAGGCCATTCTGACGACGTTGGAACACCTGAAACACAGATACAGATAAAGATACAGAGTGAAGACCAGGTGACAACACTTTATTCTACCTACATTTTGATAAAGTACACGTCCCAAATGGCACCCTTTGCACTGAAATGTTGGGTGTTGTTGGGTGTTTGTCTACAAGGTATATCTCCTGCTATGAGACACTTACAATCCAGCCTCCTTCGTCTGTGGTCATATCACAGTAGACCTGCACTCCCTGATTGGCGTCTCTGTTGATGTAGATGGTGTAGACGCCATTGAGGGACTCGCCGTTTAGCAGATGCTGGGCACAGTTCTGGGGGGTGGCAAACAGACGGTTTCCTGGAGAGGAGGAGAACAGAGCACATGAGATCAGCTCAACACAATGGAGAATGACCAGGACTGGGTCCGTATTCATAAAGCGTGTCATAGTAGACCTGCTGATATAGGATCATAATGAATAAGATTAAATAGACGGTGGATCTGATCCTAGATCAGCTATCTTACTCTGAGATGCTTATTGAATATGGGCCTGGACATTGGATAGAGATTGGAGTGGACATTGGCATAAATGGTAAATGTGTGTGTGTATGTGTGTATCTGTATGCTTGCTTATGTGCGTGCGTGTGTTTACCTGTTGTGAAGGCCATAGAGATGATACCACTAGTCTCTAATCCCCTGGCAGCCTGCAACCTCACAGTGTATTCTGTGGTCTCTGCCAGGCCCTCCAGACGGATCCATGTGTCCTCGGCATCCAGGATCAGCTCCTGTAGTAGCAGCACCACACACACACACACACACACACACACACACACACACACACACACACACACACACACACACACACACACACACACACACACACACACACACACACACACACACACACACACACACACACACACACACACACACACCACAGAGGGGAGAACACACAGATCAGGGAACCGTAACTATGAGTGGATACGGTACAGTAAACCGTTTTAGCTAGATCCAATCCTAACAATTGTACAGCAGACAGTAGCCCAAAGCGGGGATACTATCTAACTCCTACCAACAAACAACAAAAGCACCCAGGCACATCTACAGAAATGAAAAATGTATGTCAGGCCCATTTAAATGTTGAATTCATTATTCTGTGTTGTTGGCCCTTGTACAACTCTGTCCTGTGTTTTTGTTAGTGATAAGAAGGAGAACTTAAACCACAGATAGAGGAGAGGAAAGGATCTTATCAGACACTGGTGCTATAAGGAGCTGCCAGGAAGAAGATTTTTTTTAATTTCTGTCTAAAACTCAAGATGGTTCAATTCCCTTTCGTTGCTTTTGACAAACCAACTTTTATCAAGCGGATCTTCTGATGGCATCGTGTTTCTCTCAGAGATCTGAAAAAGAGATCTCTGTGATGAGCTCTCTAGGAGCTGGCCGTGACAGCAGAGTGAACTGTGAATTTAATGGGGCTTTGAGCCACATGAAATATCTATGAAGAACTGGATGAAATATTCAGCCATTTTGAAAAAAGTCACACATTTTAAGGCAATATGTTGGATGAATTATGCAGTTAAAGCCACTCTTTAATTGATGTTTCTCTCACAATGGACCTTACACTGATTCACTGTCGTTTAAAAAAAAAGATTATTATTTTACTATTAGGATAAAATATTTCCATGTATGGAATTGTTGATCATGTACAAGGAATAATTTACAATAGATTGCATGTTGCCTAATTACTGTATATAATCTAGTATTGCTCTAATCTGGAAGGTCAACATATGATTTATAATCAAACTAAAACAGATTACTGTGGTGAATATGAACATTATATTAACAGAGAAAAAAGGTTGGGAATAATTCATGGAGACTGAAATGAGCTCAAACAGAGTAAAACAACACAGTCTGTGACTAAAACCAAATCCTCTGTGCATGACTGACACCCACTGGCCAAACACAATCACCAAAAACACACAAGGTCAATATAGTTAAAGGCATGCATCTTAACAGACGTGTGTGTGTGTGTGAGTGTGTGTGAATGTGTGTGTGTGTGTGTGTGTGTGTGTGTATGTGAGAGTGTGTGTGTGTGTGCATGCATGCGTGTTGATATATATAGAAAAGACGAAGACAGTGAGGACAGTACAGTCTTGAGCTCTTTTTGTGACTTTGTCCCAAATGGCACCCTATTCCCTTTATAGTGCACTACATTTGACCAGAGCTATAGGGGGAATAGGGTGCTTTTTGGGACGCATACTTGGGCTCTGTCTGTATGATGTAATTAGTTGAGAGAGATATCTGCTGTAGAATATCAGGGGAATTGTTCCTGGTGAGTCATTATTAATAGAGGTATTGCATCAGGATAGTCCGGTTAATCTACTTTATTATTATTACCCAGCTCCATAAAATAATTTTATTAAAATGAAAAATGTTCCAGGAGGCAAATTAAAAGATCTAAACAGCTCTATTGCCTGGGCATCCACAGTGGAGTAGAGCTGAATGGGTCTTTGAGGCAATTTGTCTGGGCGATACAGGATGTACGCTACCGGTAACACTCACATTACGGCTCATATATTATCAATCATATCTCCTGTGAGCACGTTTGGCTTGATGATACACTATGGAGGCCTACAGTGTGTGATTTTGATTGGAAATTCATAGACAAAGATAAGGCAGTGTTTTGGCAGCTTGGCTGTTTGTGCTATGATGCCAACTCCTTGTCACTCATTCATTCCAATGTTTGGCTTGACAATGACAGCAATGGAGAAGACAAGAGCACAGACAGATCCGGGACCAGGCAAGTATTTTGGCAGCTTGAAAACACTACACATAACACTTATGGCTCATATCAATAGGGCTGGTACAATTACAGTATAACCGTTGACAGTTATGGATGAAAACCCTCATGAAAATAAAATAATAGTCAAAAATGTTTTGGGTGGAACAAACAGGGACAGCCGGGAATTTGTGCAGTTATTGCTCCTAGCTGAAATGTAAAATGTTCAACTGTTTTAAAAAAAAAATATATATATATATATATATATATATATATATATATTACGGTGACCATGGTCATTTGGCTGGTCAATTACCGTCATCAAAATTCCATGACTGTCACAGCCCTACATCTCAATTCCTCATGTGAGCCTCTTTGGCTTGATTATACAGTAACAGTTCAGTGTGTGTCTGTGTGAGAGTGATAGAAACTCTTGTTGAAAAAGTTAGATAAGCCCTACCGTATTCTACTTACCTTTCTGTTGCCATCCGCTGATTTGTATGTGAGCATGTAGTTGTCGATGTCTGCGATCGGCGGTTGCCAGGAGATGAGGGCACTGCGGTGGTTCACCTCGCTAGCCGTCAGGTTCAGAGGAGCGTCCATGGCTACAGGGGACCAATCAAATAGCAGATTACTACATCACAGTTCCATTGAGTCAAATCATTCTATGTTTGGTGGTCAATATTTTGTATCCAAATACTGTACGTAAATTGGGAATATTGCCCAATTATGGTCTGTCTCCTAATTTGATGACCCCCCTCTAGCGGACCTTAGTTGAAGACACCCTTCTGCACATGCATTCTCATGTCCTTTACCCAGCATCTATAACTGCAATATGTTTTATCTGCCAAAGATTCACGCTAAAAAAAGAATTAGACATTCCAAACAGAAGGTTTTTGCCCAAGACCCTATCCTCCTCTCACATCTAGAAAGCTGATACATGCACTCCTTTTCCTATCTCTCTCATTTTAATTTTTCCCTGTTGTCCTCAGGTGTTTTCAGGGGAGATCTATGACAGCTCAGTAATTAACAGCGTATTCTACCACTGATAGCCTCACGACTGAAGGATTTTCTACATGAGATGCAATGACATCTCAACACTGCAGTAGTGCCGACTAGACAAAATTACAATGTGGATGTCCTCACTGACTTGACTGCCTCTTCCAGGTCTTATCTGACAGATTGCCATTCTCCTCCTGTCTCCTCAACATGACTGCAATGCCTGAGAGGGTGTTTGTATTTCCTTTTCCTTCCGTCCCCATTTCATTGTGATGGACAATGATTCAACATTTTCATATAGTCAGAGGGCACATCTCAGAAGCATTTTCAGCCATCACAATGCCTACACTTCTCTCTTGTTTATTTTCTCTCACACTCTCTGATCTCTCTCAATTCTTTCTCTCGATTCTCTCTCTCTCATTCCCTCTCTTTAATTATAGTATACCTGCACTCGGAGGCGCGTTAACACTCTTTACATTAGCAGCAGTTCTAAAGTTCTATTCTGAGAGTTAAAGGACATTCTGTAACATTCTAATGTTCTATAGTTTTGCCACATGCTAATGTAGAGGTGTCTCAATACAGATGGCAAGGGCAGTAATTAATTATTATTATTATTATGATAAGAAGATCAGTAAATAACATTTCTCTCACTGGTCAAGTCTTTTAGAAAGTGAGTCACCCAATAACTTAATGCTCATAAGAGGCCATCACCACTGGAACTATTTTATCAGAGCATAACAGCTAGCGAAAACAAAGCGTAAGCAATGCATAACCACATGAAAAACATTTAATGAGACGCAAATGAAGAACAGAAAAGCCCTATAAAGTCTGGTGAACTTGGCCATCCCATCCAGTGATTATGAGACAACAAGGCTGGCACTGGAATAGCAAAGCCAATGGCCTGTGACACTTTACACAAATTAATTTAGCCAAAAACAGTGTCTATAAATTAAGTTTTGCAAAGGGCACTGGTTGATTAAACATAGGGGAATTGCCCCTCCCTCTAGGGAGACTTTTACTGCAAGACACAAGACAAAATAAAGCCATAGAAAAGTACTGGTTGTTCTTTTTTCTGGACATAAGTTTGTGTACTCTACAGAGGCAGAGCAGCAGCCCACTTGTTCTGAAAATGTTAATGCAGCTCCAGCAGAGTGCAGCCTAGGTAAAACTCTGCCGTTCTGCTCCCTTGGGGATATTAATGGCCTGCTGCTGACAGAGACTTTTTGTCTCGAAAATAAAGTTTAGAGCCCCAACTAAACTAAACTAGACCATTTTCCTCATCTCCCTCCCCTGCCGTAGAGTAGGTATGATCTCATTGGCTTGTGGAGGTCGTTAGCTAGGAGTACGGTGTCCATATTACGACAGCCTCAGTCTCGGCAACTCTTGTGGAGATTGAAAAAAATTGTGCGAATCTTGCTGAGACTGAGGCTGTCCTAACATGGACACCTTATAGCAGTAGAAACATGGTCAGTAAGTGATCACACTGCAAGGGCCTCAATCAGAGGGGCAATGATTCCTGTTGCTAATTAGACACACTTTAACTGGGAGGTGTGAAAGGGCACCCGTTAATTGAATAGGAGCAAGTTTCAAGTAGTTTCAAGTAGCTTGCCTTGCTCTGTGCTGCTTCTTGAACATGTGCCTTCAAAAAGTATTCACACCCCTTGATTTTTCCCACATTTTAATGTGTTACAGCCTGAATTTAAAATAGATTAAATTTAGATTTTGTGTCTCTGGCCTACACACAATACCCCATAATGTTAAAGTGGAATTATGTTTTTAGACATTTTTACAAATTAATAAAAAATGAAAAGCTGAAATGTCTTGAGTCAATAAGTATTCAACACCTATGTTATGGCAAGCCTAAACAAGTTTAGGAGTAAAAATGTGCTTAACAAGTCACATAATAAGTTGCATGGATAATAGTCTTTAACATGATTTTTGAATGACTACCTTATCTCTGCACCCCACACATACAATTATCTGTAAGATCCCTCAGTCGAGCAGTGAATTTCAAACACAGATTCAACCACAAAGACCAGGGAGGTTTTCCAATGCCTCGCAAAGAAGGACATCTATTGGTAGATTGGTATAAAAAAAAGCAGACAATGAATATCCCTTTGAGCATGGTGAAGTAATTAATTATATTTTGCATGGTGTATCAATACACCCAGTCTTAACAAAGATGCAGGCGTCCTTGCTAACTCAGTTTCCGGAGAGGAAGGAAACCACTCATTGATTTCATCATGAGTCCAATGGTTATTTTAAAACAGTTACAGAGTTTAATGGCTTTGATAAAAGAAAGCTGAGGATGGATCAACAACATTCTAGTTACTCCACAAAACTAACCTAAATGACAGAGTGAAAAGAAGGAAGCCTGTACATAATAATAATATTATTCCAAAACATGCATCCTGTTTACAATAAGGCACTAAAGTAAAACTGCAAAAAATGTGTCAAAGAAATTAACTTCATGTCCTGAAGGCAAAGCGTTATGTTTGGGGCAAATCCAACACAACACATCACTGTGTTGTGTTGGATTTGCCCCAAAGAGTACCACTCTTCATATTTTCAAGCATGGGGTTGGCTGCATCATGTTATGGGTATGTCTGTCATTGGCAAGGACTAGGGATTTGTTTTTCAAAAAAATAATAAACGGAGCTAAGCAAAGGCAAAATTCTAGAGGAAAACCTGGTTCAGTCTGCTTTCCAACAGACACTGGGAGACAAATTCACGTTTCAGCAGGACAATAGCCTAAAACAGAAGGCCAAATATACACTGGAGTTGCTTACCAAGATGACATTGAATGTTCCTGAGTAGCCTAGTTACAGTTTTGACTTAAATCAGCTTGAAAAGCTATACTAAGACTTGAAAATGGCTGTCTTGCAACGATCAACATCTAACTTGACAGAGCTTGAAGAACATTAAAAATAATAATATGCAAATATTGTACAATCGAGGTGTGCAAAGCTCTTAGAGACTTGTATTTTATTGTCTTAGGTGTGTGAATACTTATGTAAATGTAAATAATATTTAATGGTAAATACATTTGCAAAAATTTATAAAAACATGTTTCACTTTGACATGATGGGGTATTATGTGTAGATGGGTGAGATTTTTTTTACATTTTGAATTCAGGCTATAACACAACAAAATGTGGAATAAGTCAAGGGGTATAAATACTTTCTGAAGGCACTGCATATGTACTGTAGCTGCTCTTAGTCTGTGTAGGTTGCTTCTGAACAGGTGGGTGGTAAGTAACTAAGCAAGTAAAGTAACTAACATACGTGTTGCAAAGTTGGCGATGACGGTTCCGCTGGTCAGGGGTCCCTTGGTGGCGTAGAGGGCTACAGAGTAGGTGGTGCTGGGCATGAGCTTAGTGAGCTGGTGCTCCTGTTTCACACCTTCCACCAGGAAGGTATTAGCTGTCACTACAAGAGTAGAAGGAACACAAATATATATATTAGAATAGGAGAATACATGAGATTGTAAACAAACCTGACTTTTATGATTACATGAAACTATTTGGAGCCTTAATTATTAATGTATAGCGGTTGCCTAGGATATGCATGTTCACAGTCAGAGTTGGTAGACTGGGGTTCCTATGGGTATTACATGGGTCAGGTTTAATTGCATGTTGCATAAATACATTTAGCTCAAATTCATGATTCCTTATTTGTTTGCATGACTAAACTTTGTATAATCAATCTAAATAAATTGGCTGTTTAATAAAAGGCTTACTATAACCTCAGAAATACCAGGATCCATGATGGTGGTGAAAAATAATAGGCTAACAAAAATGTTCAGCCATGATTTCATTGCCTGGATGAGTATATTAGAGAGGACACCTAACGAACGCACCAAAGAGTCAATAAAGCACATTAGCAAGAGGTTGCTGAAGAACCATAATTGGTGGCCATATTGATGAAAGCTGCATCGACTAGCAAGCGGAAGTCTGAGCTGATTTCCAAGTAGCTGTGAGACACTTTCCTCTGAGAGCCGAGTTGGCAGGAGTCCAGTCCACCTAGTCTTACTCTACAGACTCAGGGCGCTCCACATGCTCCATCCCCATAGCAGAGAAACAGTGGCTGTGAAAAGACAATAAATCCACCTACCCTGGTTGCAGGTGAGGGTGAACACGTAGTTGTCAACGCTGGACAGAGGAGGGTTCCACCGGAGTAAAGCTCCTTGTGAGGTAATGTTGAGGGCTGTCAGTTCCATTGGCATGTCCATCGCTGTATCAAAGAGAGAGATGAAAGCAATGCATGGGTCAGAGAGGATACCATATCAACACTAACCCAAGATGGCCCATTCACTTTACAAAATGTCATCTACTGTATGTTCCAATTTACAGACCACCATGTGGACTATATACTCTGCAGATTGAGGCTAATTTGTAATGACTCTCTTCTCCAGTGAGATCACAATTCTTGCTAGTATAACTGACATCAAAGGCAAATTATACAGTCAAATATTCTGTACAGTACACAGAAGAAGCTTTTATTTAAGACTCCCTACCTACCGCAAGAACCAAGAGAGAGTAGGAATTTAATTACATGTTTAACTTAGTGTTTTAACCTCCATGTTTTCAAATGGATTTTTGGCTT